GGTTGGGTTTAGGACTTTCCAAACTTGCGTCCAAAAGGGTGTGTTAAAAATGCACTTCCTTGTGGTCACTTAGGTGAGTCATGACATGCCCACGTATGTTGGCTCAAGACTTGATGTGCTTGTGGCATAAAGGACGTGTGTGGATGCAGCTTAGGAACACCTACGTGTGACTGTATCTGTTGTGACTTGGAAGACCTCAATTACCTTTTCAGTATGTATGTATGTATGCATGTATGTATGTATGGGATTTATAGGGGGTAGGACACAGAGGCAAGTTTTGGTGCTGCATTAGGCTCCCCCAAGATACCCCAATATCAGGTAGCAGCGAAACGAGGCACAATATTCATGCGTTCCAGTCTCGGGCGAAAACGGAAAATTCGAGAATTTGGGGCTGTTGACGTGTAGGTTCCTGGGCTGTAAGCAAGACAACGGACCGGTCTTCGTGAAGTCGGCAGCGGGTGCGAAAGTTCGCGAAGATTCGCGAACATCTTAGGAATTTTCACACACTGCTGCCTCCCCTCAGTGTCTTGCGTTGTGGAGCCTTTGAGGTCTTTCAGATTTGATCTTGCGGTTCATGGAGCATGAAATTCAGAATGAAACATAAAAACAAGGCGCAGTAACTACAGGCAACCTGCTCGTTGCGCGGCGTGGCGCAACTCATTGTTAAGCAAAAATGAATGTTTTCTGGTGGTTCGTGTTGATGTTAGGAATTTCGATGTGCATGTCCGGTGGTTATCTTCGAAACCCTCGTTCTTTTTCGGGACGTTGCTTATAATGTGCTCACGTCAGCCTTAGCGGCCCAGGACGAAACACTTAGTTCTTAATGTTCTTGCGCGACTTACACATATTGGTCTCATGAAACCAAGGCTGTTTTCGCTGGCGTGACAGAGCGGGGTGCTGTACGTGAATACGTGTGGGGCTTTGGTTAATGTGGATTCTGGGCTCGGGTCTGCTGCCGCCTTTGGTGGATTGATGTTAGGTTAGTTTTACAAAGTTTTGTACCAAGAAATCTATGGTTTTTGTTATCAACGACGGTATGGATCTTCCAGAGCATCCAGACATATGGATTGTAAGATGGAATCCCTGCAAGTGAGGAACAAGCTTGTCTACGTAAGTTTTCCAGCCAGAGCATTAAAACAGAGATTCCGCAGCGAACACACTCTAAGGTTCAGTCCCTGAAATTGTGTGGGTGCCCCAAGACATTTTGCAGCAAGCGCACTCGAAGTTCAGTCCCGTAACTTTCTATCATTTCCCCTAATATTAATGGGCTCCTCCCCCTAATGTAAATTTTCCGAGCCGTACCCAATATTAGGGGGGGCTTGTTTATCGTACGGCTCCAACCTTAATGGGGGGCATATGGGGTCCTATTGAGAGCTGATTAAAACCGTATATAATTCGATTAAGTCTCGAATACGGGACCATTTCATGTTAGGGCCTCATTAATTTGGGACTATTCCAAATCAAGGACGTACAATGGATCATTTCAAATTAGGGCCTCATTAGGAACTCTTCCAAATTAAGGTTTGATTAGGGGGTATTTCGAATTAGGGACTTATTACGGCAATTTCGAATTAGGGCCTAATCAGGGACTACTCCAAATAAGGGTTTTGGAATCTCTGTCTGGAATTCTTCTATATGAATTCACCTTTATAAGAAAACCGTTCAAAAACAATCAACGTCTAGAAAAGAGATCTCAAATCCATATGAGTCGTGCTTAACACCACCCATAACTCAAAGGATCCGAGCAGCAATTTACTTTAGTGTAGGCCCTTTTTTAAAGTAGTCTTGGGGGCAAATTTTTGAATTTGACGAATCCGTAGTTAATATCAGGGGGGAGATAATATTAGGGGGAAACGATTAGGTGCCGCAGGAGATTCTGCAATGAGCAAACTCTAAATTCAGTCCCTAAAGCTTCCTAGGTGCTCCATGCCAAGAACAGATCCAGCACTAAGCAAGCTCTAGCATCAACACCTAAAATTTATAGGTTTCCCACCTTCTCAAGACACAGGTTTGAAGCAAGCGTTCTGAACAATCCTACAGAAACTTCAAGTTTCAGGATTTTAGAAATGTGGCCTTCTTAATGGTGTTCCGGCGGTGGGATTTTATAAATAGCGGCTTAGTTCTTAATGTGAAGCCAACATTAACTGTTGGGTCATGTTGCATTAGCCTGGTGGTGGTGGTAGTGGTAATACCCATAAAGCGTGTAAAGCTAAACGGTCGAGTTCCCAGGAAAATTGTATTGGTGGTTTCAGCCGTGCGATATACATTCACCATGTATTTCTGAGAGACCCCGAACAAGACCCTTGTTGCCAGCGAGCCCGGTGGAGCGCCTTGCTTTCTGGCAAAAATCTGAAGGAGGCGTTAATCTGAAAACCCCAAAACCCAAACACCAAGACCACAAGAAAATCTGAGGACTACTCTTGGCTACGTTGGAAAATTGGAAAAGCCAAAGGAACCAAAACAAACAATTTTTTTGGAGTCTAGTGTTGCTTATTGGTGTTTGCTTTTGATTTTTTCTTTTCGTTTTCCAGACTAGCCTGGAGTAGTCCTCAGCATTTTCTGTGGGATAGTTTTTTGCTAGCCAAT